AATTTATGCAGATATATGCCCTGGAGAATTTTTTAAACCATAATGTGCTCCATGGCTTTTCATCTATGGCAAGCAGGCTTAAAATGACTGTGACGGAAGTGTAGGCGGGACAGAACGCACACGGAGGATGATAAACACACAAAGTTTTATTGAAATAGGAGAGACACTCAAGCAGGGTAACAAGTATAGTGCCCATGTACCCAAAAGGGGGGGGGGGGGAGGAGTCCAAACAGTGATAATCCAGCCCACGGTAGGGCGATTCAGGTAGAGATAATCCGAGCACTCAGGGGGGCAGTCCAGGTAGCTACAATAATCCGGGCACATAATTGGGGCAGTCCAGGCAAGGGAAATACGGGCGGACAATGAGGCAGTCCAGGCAAGGGAAATATGGGCGTACAATGGAGCAGTCCAGGCAGGAGTGATATGGGCACACGTTAAGGCAGTCCGGGCAAGGAGCACAAAATAAGGACAGTTCCACACTCCGCCACATGCGGCTGGTAGGGGCACTCACGGCAGGTAGTTTCCAGGGGCAACCAGCAGACCATGTGCAGGAACACTCACGACTTTAGGGGCGGCAGCAGCCAGTAGACTGGGACCCTCACGGAGGTCAGCTTTCCAGGGAAAACCAGCGATCAGCAGACAGGGACCCTCACGGTACTCAGCCTTCCAGGGACAACCAGCGATCAGCAGACAGGGACCGTCACGGTACTCAGCCTTCCAGGGACAACCAGCGATCAGCAGACAGGGACCCTCACGGTACTCAGCCTTCCAGGGACAACCAGCGATCAGCAGACAGGGACCCTCATGGTACTTAGCTTTCCAGGGACAACCAGCGGACAGGAACAGCTTTCCAGGGACAAAGCGGTCAGCAGACAGGAACAGCTTTCCAGGGACAAAGCGGTCAGCAGACAGGGACAGCTTTCCAGGGACAAAGCGGTCAGCAGACAGGAACGGCTTTCCAGGGACAAAGCGTTCAGCAGACAGGGACAGCTTTCCAGGGACAAAGCGGTCAGTAGACAGGGATCCTCACGGGGCTCAGCTTTCCAGGGACAAAGCTGTCAGCAGACAGGGACAGCTTTCCAGGGACAAAGCGGTCAGCAGACAGGGATCCTCATGGGGCTCAGCTTTCCGAGGACAACAGCAAGCTCACGGGGACTCAGCGGGGTCTTGGCTGTGGGGTCTGTCCTCAGCTCAGACCCCACACAGCGCTCCTCTTCTCAAGCGGGGGACCAACAGCTTGCAGGGACTCGGCGGTGGGGTCTGGCCTCAGCTCAGACCTCACACAGCACCCTCTCCCCAGCGGGGGACGAACACACGGGCTGGATCCCGCTCCGACCTTCTTAAGGCCGGAGCAGGACGCTTCCCGGTTGCCCTGGCAACGTCCAGGCCCAGCACCGCGTGCCGGGGCAACGAGGCATGCCCCCCTGACATGCGGCCCCAGGAAGACTCATGCCCACTGCTTGTGAGACATCCCGGCGGCCTTTGTCTCTCCGGCAACATTGCCGGGCGCAGATGCGACCCGCACCACAGGGGCGCTTCCTCCCATCCTGCACAGCCTTTGAAGTAGGCTGTGATAGGATGTGAGAAATCTGCAAGGGGGGGAGGGGTGAAGGGACAGGCAGAGGGACAGCAGGCACATGGGGGGTGGGGGCACGGGGCACACCATGAAACCCCTCCCCCTTTTATTTTACAAGTGCAGTATGTGATAGAAGCGTAGGCAGGACAGAACGCACATGGAGGATGATAAACACACAAAGTTTTATTGAAATAGGAGAGACACTCAATCAGGGTAACAACGATAGAACCCGGGTACCCAAAAGGGGGGGGGAGGAGAGGGAGAAGTCCAAACAGTGATAATCCGGCCCACGGTAGGGTGATTCAGGTAGCGATAATATTTTTTTTTTTACTATTTTGGGCCAGTTTTCCTTTTCATAATAAAAATAAATCAGGAGATATCCATTACCATTTACCACCAGATGAAAGCCCAATTTGTCCTAAAAAAAACAAAGTATAATTCACCTGGATGTACAAAGTAGTTGTGATGATATGTACGGTTTTACTAACACATGTCAACATTGCAAAATTGTGCTCAGGCATTTAGATTTGTTTTACCCTTAGGCGTGAAGGGGTTAAATGATCATGCTGCTGGCCTGTTGTACAATGTTGTGTCATCTGGGGTCCCTTAATTCTTGGAGTAAAACATCTGTTTTTATAACCCTTTGTCTCTAGCACGTTTAGGACAATTCTCCCTTATTAAAAATGTCCTGCTGCTGGTTCATTTTACACTGCTGTTTTATCTGTCATCTATTAATTCTAAATGACAGTTTGATGAGAAAATGGCCAATGACAGGACAGTTCACATCAGTGAGAATAGAGACAACCGTTGTATCTGACGGTCAAAGTGGGCCTATACTGTTTGATGAAAATCATGTATTGCTGCTAAACCACCTAGAAAAAAGATTTTTTTTTTTTTTTCAAACTGAAATGCATCAGATTTGGGTGCTGTTGCATTGTAAAATGAAAAAATCAACTTAACAGCAAAATATGCACTGCCAGTTACACTGTCAATGAGACTGTCTGTGAAAATTGTACTGTTTCACAAAATCAAATACAGTTTTAAGTTATCTTCCAAACATATTATTCAAAGGATTTGTGAATTTTCAATGTTGCCATTGGTGGCTAAGGCTCGATCACTGGGTCCCGGCCGATAATTCCCAAATGGCACCCGGCAATCGCCGAAGAACACTGATAGAGGAGAGGTCTGTATGTAAACAATGCAGATTTCTCCCTGTCAGCTCCAGCACATTTCTTTGTTTTGCTCTGCATAGCAGAGCAAAACAAAGCAGCATGCTTACACAGTAAAGCACACACAGTAAAATGGCACACAGTTAACCCTTTGATCGCCCCAGCTGTTAACCCCTTCCTGTGTCATTAGTACAGTGTCAGTGTTTTTTTTTTTTTACCACTGAAAAATACATTAATGTCACTGGGGATGTCAGTGTCAGAATGCCAGCCGCAGTGACACAGTCCCGCTATAAGTCGCTGACCGCCATTGCTAGTATATATAAAAAACAAAATTCTAGTATATATACTGCCATTTGTAGATGCTATAACTTTCACATGAACCAATTAAATTTACATGTATTGTGATTTTGTTTGTACCAGCAGAATACATTTTGGCCTAAATTTATGACGAAATTTGATTTTTTTAAACATTTTTTACTGGATATGTTTTATATCAGAAAGTCAAAAATATTGTGGTTTTCTTTTTTTCAAAATTGTCAGTCTTATTTTATTTATAGTGCAAAAAATAACAGACGATCAAATATCACCAAAAGAAAGCTCTATTTGTGGGAAAAAGGACATAAATTTAATTTGGGTGCAGCATTGCATGACCACGCAATTGTCAGATAAAGTAACGCAGCGCCGTAATGCAAAAAATGGCCTGGCCAGGAAGGGGGAAAAAATCCTCTGGAGGGCAAGTGGTTAATAAAGGACTTGTCAAAAACTTTTTTGTTTTGTTTTTTTTCAATAAGGGAATTTTTCAAAAGCCTGGTCTCTTTATTTTTTACTAAATTTAACAGTTTAGTGAATGGTTAGGGGTACAAGTACCCCTTGCTCATTCACAAGGGAGGGGGCAGCATTAGGATGCCCCCTTATTTAAAGGGGTACCCTGATGCTAATGAGCTCCCTTGCCCGCAGACCCCCACAACCACTGGGCCAGGTTTATGGAGAAGTAGCTGCAAGGGGGGGCGCTCATTTGTCCCCCCCTTTCCTGCCCTTCCAGGCCTGTGCTCGGATCAAGGGTCTGGTAAGATTTTAGGGGGGACCCCACGCTTTCCCCCCCCCCATTTTTGGGGGGTTGGGTTCCCCTTAAAAGTTCTACCAGGTCTAAAGGGCCTGGTACGGCTTTTAGGGAGAACCCACGCACTTTTTTTTTCTTTACTGTGGGGTCCCTCCTAACCTTTCTACCAGACCTAAAGGGTCTGGTATGAATTAGGAAGGGACCCCACTCTAGTTTTTATGTTTTGTTTATTTGTTTTTTAATAAAATTGTCATTTTTTTTTTTTTAAAAAAGTCAGTCTATAAATTATGCAGATGTGCAACATTGCAGGTAGTTTAAGGGATGATATTTAAAGGCATGATATTTAAAGGAATTTTTCTTTTTTTTTACTTTAAGCAATAAAAAATGACTGTCCCTTTAAAAATGGTACTTTTTTTGAAGTTTTTTTTTTTTGACTGATTCATGTCCCTCAGGGCAGTACCCGAGTCCCCACACCCCTTTTATGGCCAGTAACTTGCTTATAAGCCTTCAAAATGGGCACTTTTGAATTTACAAGTTTGAGTCCCATAGACTTGCATTAAGTTCGAAGTTCATGGTAGAAAATTAATTAGGTTCGAATGATCGGCCACAAACCAAACACAGGGGTGTTTGGCCCACCATTACTGTATGCGTTATCAGTTTGTAGTGTGCTAAACTCACAACAGTAAAATCAACCTGAATATGCAGTAAAACATGCTTGTTATACTCACTGTGGAATCCAAGGGGTTAATCCTTTGCATTGTGTAAAAAGAATGTTTGATCCTGTCTTTTCTGATCCTCCCCTTCTACTGTCCCCAATCCATCTGCTGATAGAACAGAGCCTTGGGGGCAATCTGCACATGCTCAGTTTGGTGTGTTACATATTCTGGCTGAAAAAAGACAAAAGTCCATCCAGTTCAACCATAAAAAAAAAGTTATAATCCTACACCCACAGTTAATCCAGAGGAAGGCAAAAAAATTCCTTCCTGATCCCCCAAGAGGCAATTGGATATTCCCTGGATCAACTTTACCTATAAATGTTAGTATCCAGTTATATCCAGTTATATTCTGTGTATCCAAGAATCCAGGCCTTTTTTAACCGCCCCCCGCCCACCATATAGTACAATGATTGGCACTAGGCGGTTCTCTTGTTCTGGGAGGATGTCATATGACGTCCTCCCATTCTAACCACGCATGCTCACCGATCAACGGAAAGAACCGAAGATGTCAGCTCTGTCATGTGATCAGCTGTGTCCATTCACAGCTGATCACATGTAAACAGGGAAATGTCGGTTATCGGTATTTCTCTCCTCATGAGCTGTCATGCTGACAGCTCGTGAGGAGAGGAGAGCCGTTAATCGTCATTCCTCGGAGGGGACATGTACATAGATTATCAGAGCACTAATGATCAGCAGTGCCACTTGTCAGAGTCCATCAGTGCCAGCTGTCAGTGCTCATCCATGCCACCTGCCAATGCCCATCAGTGCCACATCAATGCCACATATCAGTGCCCATCTGAGCTGCCTTTCAGTGTCACCCATCAGTGCCAGTCAGTGCCACCTATTAGTGCTGCCAATCAGTGCCACCTATCAGTGCCAGTGCCGCCTATCAGTGTCAGTGCTGCATATCAGTGCCATATATGAGTGCTGCCTTTCAGTGCCCATCAGTGATGCCTGTTAATGCCCATCAGTGCCACCTACCAGTGCCTCCTCATCAGTGCCACCTATCAGTGTCCATCAGTGCAGCCTATCAGTGCCCATCACTACAGTCTCATTAGCGCACATCAGTGAAGGAGAAAAATCACTTATTTACAAAGTTTTATAACAAAAACTAAGAACAATTTTTTTTTTCAAAAAAATTTTCTGTGTTTTTTGGTTTGTTTTGAGAAAAAATAAAAAAAAAACCAGAGGTGATTAAAAACCACCAAAATAAAGCTCTATCTGTCACAAATAAATTATGCAAATTGCATATGAGTACAGTGTTGTCATTCAAAGTTTGGCAGTGCTGAAAGCTGGAAATTGGCCTGGGCAGGAAGGGGGTATAAGTGCCCTGTAGGCTAGTGGTTAAAGCAATCCACTGAGCTGGCCAGAACCAACTCGAGGGAGTCTATTCCACATTATCACAGCTCTTACTGTGCAGAAACCCTTTCCGTATTTGGAGATTAAATTTATTTTCCTCCAGACATAAAGGGTGCCCCCTTATCCTCTGTGATGACCTCAGGGTGAATAGCTCTACACCGAGTTCACTATATGAACCACTGAAGTATTTATACATGTTGATCATATCCCCCCTTAACCTCTTCTTCTCAAGAGAGAATAAATTCAGTTCCTCTAATCTTTCCTCATAGGTGAGCTTTTCCTTGCCTCTTATCAGCTTGGTTGCCCTTCTCTGCATTTTCTCCAGTTCCCCAATGTTCTTTTTGTGAATTGGTGCCCAAAACTGAACTGCATTGGGTTCCGGCTTGTTTGGCCAGGCTAATCCCGCTTGTAGTGATCGATGTTTCTGGGGTTGTGGCCATCGTGGCGATGTCTTGCATATCTGGTGGTCATGCCCGAGACTGGTCCGTTTTTGGTCTCGTGTATTTGGCCTCCTTTTCACGTTGTTTCATCTATCCATACGCCGGGATGCTCGGTATGCCTTGCTTCATTGCCCCACACCGGGTATCTTTGCTCATCAGCAGAAGCTGGCGTCCTATTTGTTTCTGTCGGCCACCAGAACAATTGCTCAGGCCTGGAAGAGTCCGTTTGTCCCTTTTCAGGGGGTGCGGGATCGTATGACCAATATGATGCTTAATGAGCAGATGTCGAGCATATGCAACGACTCCCAATGTAAATTCTCGAAAATATGGGAACCATGGTTGCAATATGCCTTTCCCACGCTTCCTTTGGCTAGTATGGGGATGTACTGGCGTTAGGCACTGGCATTTGATGGTGGCGCTCTTGGATCTCTGCCCCCTCTTCTCTTTTTTTTTTTTTTTCTCTCCTCTTATTTCTCTTCTCTTTCTTTCTCTCCATTTCTGTTAGTTTTTTTTGGGTGATAGTTGACAGCTGCCTTTAATTGCAGTTAGAATTTCATTACCGTCATTGTAACCTATGTGCCATTGATAGCCCCTGCGTGGGCGTACCTTCTGCCTTGTTGAAGTTAGAGCACTGTTTTTTTTTATTATTATGTTTTTTATCTTATCGGTGCAATTGATAGCCCCTGTGGGGGCATGTTTTGTCGCCTCTGTTTTATACTGCTTAAAACTAATAAAAACTATTGAAATACAAAACTGAACTGCATATTTCAGATTGGTCTTATGATTTGTACAGGATAATATGATATCTCTCTCTCTGGAAACTGCAGCTTGGCATTGCATGCCATTTTTAAGCTTATGATCTACCAGCACCCCCAGATCCTTCTCCACCATTGATTCCCCCAGTTGTACCCCCCCTAGTATGTATGATGCATGCATATTCTTAGCCCCCAAGTGCATAACCTTACATTTATCAACATTAAACCTCATTTGCCACATAGTTGCCCAATTAAACAGTGCATTGAGGTCGGCTTGTAAATTGGAGACATCCTGTAAGGAAGTTATTCCACTGCACAGCTTGGTGTCATCTGCAAAGACTGAAATGGGATTTTTAATCCCAGACCCTATATCATTTATAAATATATTAAAAAGTAAGGGCCCCAACACTGAACCTTGGGGTACACCACTGATGACCCCAGACCATTCAGAGTATGAATCATTAACCACTACTCTCTGAATACGATCTTTTAGCCAATTTTCTATCCATTTACATACGGATTTTTCCAAGCCTGTAGACTTTGCCTTACACATTAGCCGTGTGTGGGGAAATGAGTCAAACGCTTTTGTAAAATCCAAATATACCACGTTCACCACCACCCCTCTGTCCAAGGTTTTGCTCACCTCCTCATAAAAAGAAATCAGATTTGTTTGACAAATTCTGTCTTTCATGAATCCATGCTGTCTGTTGCTTAAAATATTTTTTTCCAGCAAGAACTCATCTATGTGGTGTCTTTTATTAAACTCTCCAGCATCTACCAAATTACGGAAGTTAAACTAACAGGTCTGTAATTACTTGGTAAAGATTTTGACCCATTTTTAAATATTTTTAAACATTGGCATCACATTGGCCAAACGCCAGTCCAATGGTACTATGCCAGTCATTAAAGAGTCCCTAAAAATTAGAAATAATGGGTTTGAAATGACAGAGGTCAATTCTTTAAGGACCTATGGGTGTATGCTATCTGATCCAGGTGCTTTATTCACCTTTATACTGTCTAAATATTTTTGGATCATGTCAATTGTGAGCCAATGTGGATCATCTGGAGCTGTGTCAATACCATGTACCTTATGGACTAGAGCTCCCCCATGCTCCTTTGTATACACAAAGCTAAATAAGGTGTTTAATAAAGTTGCCTTCTCTTTGTCCCCAATCATCCACTCTAGATTATTTTGTAAAAGGCCTACATGCTCAGACCAGACCTTTTTTAATATTCATATATTTGAAGAATTTTTTTGAGGTTTGTCCTGCTATCTTTTGCAATCTGTCATTCTTTTTCAATTTTGCAGCCTTTATTTTCTTTTTGTATATTTTATTATAGTCTTTGTAATGTTTAAATGATGATAGTGTTCCTTCATGTTTATATTTAATAAAAGCTCTTTTCTTATTATCTATAGCTTTTTTAACTTTGGCCGTAAGTCACATAGGTTTGATTTTTAGCCTTTTAAACTTGTTGCCCATGGGAATATATTTTGCAGTGTGTTCACATACAGTCTTATTGAAGAACTCCCATTTCTGTGTTGTGTTCTTCGATGCCAATATTCCCTCCCAGTCTAGGTCTTGGAGAGCAGCTCACATCCTTGCAAAGTTAGCTCTCTTAAAATTTGAGCGGTTTTATTTTTCCCATATGTGCTTGATGTTTACAGATAACAATAAATGAAATCATGTTATGGTCACTGCTACACAGATGTTCAAAAGAACATCTGGGTAGCAGTGACCATAACATGATATCATTTATTGTTGCTGTAAACATCAAGCACATACGTAATAAGCTCTGCATGGTTTGAGATTACCAGGTCCAGCAGAGCATCATTCCTAGTTGGGGTCTCTTTATATGGACATACATAGTAAGCTCTGCATGGCTTGAGATTACCAGATCCAGATTCCTAGTTGGGGCCTCTATGAACTGTACCATAAAATTGTCCTGTAGTAGATTTATACATTTTTGCCCTTTAACTGTCCTGCAGTACCATTACTCCAGTCAATTTCCAGTATTGCTATAGAGTTTTTTTTTGGGAGAGTGCATGTGATCAGTACAGGACAATCAGGGGAGAATGAAACCTCCTTCTACAAGTTTTAGCCAGTGCTTGTAGCTGGCCAGCTAAGACCAGTCCTAGGTTGCTAATATGGTTCACATATATGTGTATACCAAACCTGCCAATAACCTCAGTACAGTGTATATGTGCATATGTTAAAGCCAAAAGCAAAATCATTGCTGTAATTTGTCTTTGATTGTTATATGACATTTATATATTCATTGTGTTAGCAGAAGCAGAAAAGGAAAATATGCCTTTAAGAGTTAGTTAAAGATGAGCCAATCACAGACAGCCTCACACTGTACAGAGCCTTAACCAATCCCAGCCAGTTTCACATTTATGCCTGTGTAAAACTCCCTGCTAGGATTTTCTAGAGACACATGCTCACCAGACAGAGGAGGAAACAGACAGTTCCAATCAGAAAAGCTTTATGGAAGCAGAGCAGGCCAAATAGGTATTTAATGCACTTGTGTGTTCCTCTATTGTTTAACAGTGCAGGTAGATCTGTGTCTAAAAATGTTGTATGTGTTTACTTTAGTTCCACCGAACTTATCGAACTTACGAACTTATCGAATATAACGAATTTATAAATCCAAGTGAATTTATCAATCTATCGAAATATACAGAACAAATTTATCGAATCTATTGAACCTATCGAGATAAGCTATCGAATCAAACCACTGTAATATGAAAGAAATAAGCTACTGTATGATAAATGAAACAAGCCATTGTAAGCAGTGTTATATGAAGAAGATTGAAGTTATTAAAGAAGTTAACTAAAGTATTCGGTGTGCTCTTTAAACCTACTGCATCCATAGAGCGACATTGGAGGAATTACAGAGTAAAGTCAGTCTAATCAAACAAAGAAACAGCAATTGCATAATTTTTCTAATGCCACAGCGCACTAGGCACCAAAGGGTGCTGCGCCTGCCACAGTGCTCCACTGGACACTGATAGAAGTCACAAAACTGCTCTAACTGCTGATAAGAAAAGGTATTTAGCGATTTATTTTTAATAAAATAATTACATTTTCATGTTCTGTGTGCTGTGGGAGACCACATATAGTGAATGCAGGGTCCTGGGTTTCGTAACATTTTAAATTCTTATTGCACTAAAATGCACCAAAAATGTGCATGTCTTGTTTTTGAAAGGCAGTGCACCACAATGCAAGGTGGTGTGTTATTGTGCATTGTGATGCTCTACACATACATTGGCAAGGTGCATTGGGGTACCATTGGGAATGTATGGCACTGTAGCATTCCAATGCACATCACATGTAACATGCACATTCCTGCAGCACAAAAGTATGAAGCCAGCCCATTAATCAGAGGGCTTGAAGCAGTGGTCCACATTTGGATTGCTGTGGATAAAACCCTTGAATATAATGTTATTGGGTCAAAAGTTAAATTATTAATTTTTTGCCTAGACCACTGATGATTACAGAGTGAAAATACACTTTCGATAGAAAATGTGTCCTGTTTGGGAATAGTAAAGTAGATCTTCTGTACTAAACTCGCAATGTAGTTTACAGTTCCATGAGGCTTCCCACAAAGTAAGCTCTAGGGAGATATTGGATGACTCACAGCTTTTAAAACTCTAGAAGAAATCCTGGTAAATAATTAATGACTCAACAAATTTTCCTTATAATATCCCATAATGTTAAATACACCCAGACAACTACATAAAGGTTTTAGTATGTCACTGATGTACCCCAGTTATAGAAGAACACATAATGAAACTTTGTACCTTGATAGAAAGACTGCTCTAAATATTTCTACCTGAATGGAATTCACTGTATAGGATGCTGATTATGTTTCCCATTGGAAGAGACATTGCTTTACTGAAGACATTGAGACAATGAAGACATTGCTTTACTTTATTGAAACTGAAATAATAATTATATGAGCTTCTACTATACAGCAATAAGTTAGAATAGCTTCCATTAACCTTAAAGAAAACCCTATCACCAGACCATTCATTTCAACAACCATCCTCACATTTTTTTTCTTTAATTTTGGATGGAGTAAGGGAAGGTTATAACCTCTGCTAGGTCCCTGCAAATCGAGGAAATTCCTTGGGGACCCCAGGTTCCCAGGACTAGTATCCCCACTGGAAAATTTCCACTCTACTACTTTTCTAGGAACCACCCAAAATTTGGGATTTTCTTTTACTTTCACGATAACAATAAACAGGACAAATAGAGTGAATCTCCCAAACTCGGGCACAGGTTACAATGAAAAAACCTTATAGCTGTTCTAATTCCTCTCCACTCTGTCCAAAACAACATCAAAAAAGTTTTGCCTTTAGTTATACTTTAATGCTTATTAACCACTTGCCCTCCTGAAGATTTACCCCCCTTCCTGAACAGGTCATTTTTTTGCGTTACTGTGCTGCATTATTTTAACTGACATTTGCGCAGTCATGCAACGCTGCACCCAAATGAAAATTATGTCCTTTTTTCACCCATGAATTGAGCTTTCTTTCAGTGGCATTTGATCACCTGTGTGTTTTTTATTTTTTGCGCTATAAAAAAAAAAGTCCGACACTTTTGAGAATAAAACAATATTTTGGACTTTTTGCTATTA